TGTCTTACCAGCACCCCTTGACCCTATAACATGACACGTATAGACAGTTCGAAAGCTTTGCCGTCTTAGGATATTAGGGTTCTCATGTATTACTAGTATTCCTGACACAAGCTTACAATTTTCATGTACAATAAAACCTAAATATGCTAAGTACTCTAATGTTTTTCTAAAATCTATAAAAGTGAGAAGTGCCCAACGTGACATCCAGCCACGCAACGTTACTAAACCCTGCTCGTTAGTTGGGCATGATTTTTTAATATCACTTAAAAATGACCAAGGAGGGGTAGGGCATATGCTAAATAGTTTTCTATGCTCTTCTTCCGATAACGCGCCATCCTTATCGCGATCATATCTTCCAAATAAACCTGTCAGAAACTGTTCTCCTTTCTCTGAAAGTTCTGTGTTACTACCCGGTGGTATCTTCAAAACGGGATGTGAATATTCCTTACGAATTTCAAGTTGCTCATTGTAACCAAATCGACGTAACACAGCCCATGTAGTCTCAACTCGACCACTTTCTATGAATAGACAATGCATAAATAAGAATCCATCGCATGTAATCGAATCATTGGAGATCCCATTGCTTATTTTCTGTTTAATTAGCGTTTTAACCTTATTTAAAGCAATTTGTTGTAAAGGTGAGCCGAAACAGTATTCTTGGAAAAAGTTAATTTCATAATCATCTAAGAGATTGTCACCATCAATGTCACAAATTTCGAATATTCGTCTCAAAGCCCTTCCACATGCTGGTGTCAACTAAAAAATCATATAAATGAATATTGAATAATTAAATACTGGATAATGCAACTAATATACAACCTGTTGGTCTATAGTATATAGTGGTGTTGTTGGATTCAAAACTGCCTTTTGGGCGAAATAAAACAATTGTGCGACATTTTGTAACGTCTTTGCTGAACATTCGACAATACCCTCGATTTCCGGAAAATTCTCCATTATTTGCGCAACTTCCTATGATAACAGTTAACAATTTTTCTATATAATTTTATTTCACAAAATTCTTAACATACTTCAATTGTTGAATATTCCACTGTATCTGCTTTGTTGCCCGCTAAAATGATCGGCTTATATGTTTCTTCTGTTTCCACGGCACTTCGTAATAAATTCAACCAGTTCTGTATTCTTGATACAGAGTCCGATGCATTCATTGCATACACAATACAAATAACTTGAGCTTCCTTAATCTCTGAATAAAGTTCATCCCCACTCATCGTGTCACCTGTTAACATTTATTAATACAAAAAATATATATCGATGATAGGTACTGGTTTTAACTGTGAACAACTTTTACACTTACTGGAATAGTCAAAAATATGCGTGGGACCTATTTTTCGGATTCCACATGCTGGAATAATTATTTCAGGTGCACTACATGGCATATCTTCAGTAAATTCTTCGTTAACTAGTGATAATACCAATGATGTTTTTCCCACTTCCGAGTCTCCAACCACCAAAATTCGAATAGAATCATTTTTTGACATTATTTCGAAAGTGAAAATGAAAACTAAGCCGAAAAGTCTGTTCCTGTAAATTTTGAGTTTTTTTTGTTTTTGTTTAAAAACAAAAATATAAATTATTTTATAATTTAGCAAATATATTTTTTATTATTTTATAATACTACTAATTTGATTAATATGCAAGCATATTTAAAAAAAATGACTTTTAATTCGTTGATGTATTGTTAATTTTAAAAATAAACATAATTAAATTGAGTATTAAACTCTATATGAAGAGACACCAGAACATCTGTTGTATTTATGTTTAGGCTTGTTTAGAATCAGGGGTTAACTATTGGCTGCCCCACTCTTCAACACATTCGGCGATATTTCCAGCATTAGCGTTGGCCAGATTTTCGCATTTATCAATGTTTCCGGCTAACATGAGCATTCACCCTGCCACCATTACAACATCTGTTGTATTTATGTTTAGGCTTATTTAGAATCAGGGGTTAACTATTGGCTGCCCAACTCTTCAACACACTCGGCAATATTTCCAGCATTAGCGTTGACCAGATTCTCGCATTTATCAATGTTTCCGGCTAACATGAGCATTCAGCTATCCACCATTACAAGAATCAAAAAGGGTTTTTTAGCTAATTAAGGAGGACTCGTGCCTCCTTCCACTTCACTTCACTTCCCCTAGCCTAACACTATATGAAAGCAAAGCTACAATTTCAAATCATATTTGAACATCATATTATAAGTAATCCTTGTACCTCCACATTAGTTATTGAACACTTAACCATTTTCCGCAAAAATCTTTAGATATGTGTTTGATTAGACACATAGGAACTGAATCTTTTGCAGTTTCTACTAAGAGGAAAATTTCAAACATCTTATTTTTTATTATTGCAAATTGAACCTTACTCTGTTGTGTCTACAGTTTCAAAATCAACTACTCTTCATTTGCATAACCATCCATATCGATAAGTCGTATTTTGTGGAGCTTTTCGTCCTAAAGCGGCTCTCTCATCATATTCACATTTTCACCCTTAGTGGCGTCAAGCCAGTGGATGTCAATCATCTACTACATCTAACACAAAAAGAAACCCTTTCATGCGCTATTGTACATTACAATAGACAAACTATTGAAGAGAAGTGACTATGCTGAATTGGTATGGTTAGGATAAGAGTATTAGTCCTACTATAGCTTCTAATGTGGTAGTAGAGCAAGTTGCCATGATCACAGTAATACTTAAGTGGACTAATTTATGTGAATTTTTCGAGCTTTTTTTTTAAAGGTAGTGCATTTTACCGTTTCAAATTATCGGTGGTATTTTGTAAATTTTCCTGATCATTTTTGTGTATTAATAACATTATCACATAATTCTCTGAAGCTATAATAATATGTATATCAGATAGATAATAAAGAAGTGGCGACTCCCACAGAACAGAACCGTAACGAACAGAAAATACACAGCTTTTCGAATGATGGCAAGGTATTATTAATATACACCATAAAACTTTTAGAATAAAATTTTAGAAAGTTCGTAATATCATGTTTCTACTGCTGCCAAAATAATTACTTATGTTATTGTAATTAAGATTTGGTCATTTACATTGGCATGAGCTGATTTATGCATGTAAAATAGCTTGCTTGTTTACATTTTACATATAAAGCACATGACAAATATATCAAATTTTTGTAATTTTTCGTCTTAAATAAATTGATTTATTTATAATGATCTCATTCATATGAAAGCTCTTATTAGCGGCCTTAATGAGGAAAGCTGCCTAAATGAGACCAGTGGAAACATGGTATAAAACTGTACCGGTTATTAAAAGTTATAAAAAAATTATATAAATATAAATATATTAAAGTAAGTTATATTCAAACTTAAAATATGCGATGGTTTGCTATAACATAATTTATAACGATATCTATTTTTGGGCTGTTTTTTTAACTTCATATAAAATCGTTTATTTTGTAACTACTAAATAGTACGAGTCTCTTTTCGGAACACGTCTATTTGACAACAGATTTAAGTAAATATAACTGTTTTGAACAACTTTTTCCTCTACGCTCTATGTGACTATTGTTAAATTTCGAGACTAAAAGTTTAAGACTATTACATTAAGGTTGTCAAATACACACCATTTTGCCATTTACCAAGAACGGGTTTGGATTTTTATGGACGTATCACCACAACCAATATGTAGAAATATATCTGGTTTATAGAAATTTATTGTTCATGAGTACTTCATGATTATTATTTTTATTATAGAGAGTCCAATTCTAAGCTTTTAAAGAATTTTGTGACAACTGTGGGCCGTATTTTAGTTAGTATATGTTTAGGGCTCAAAATTCCACTGCCTAGATAGTCTGCGTCTGGCCTTCGGTTGGGCAGGCGACATTTTCTGTGGTTTCCTGTTGCTCTTGACAAAGTCGACAGGAATCGTTTTCTTGCCGATTAATCTTTTTCAGGTGGTATCGCAATCTACTATGGCGTGTTAGCAGTTCCATGTAGAGTTTGACATCCGTTCTGCTTAAGTTTGGAACACCTTCAGCCTTTATATGTTCAGGGATAAAAAGCCGTTTTGACTACCGCATAACTTTTTGGACTCTCCAAAAGTCAGTTCGGTTTTGTTTTTCCCTTTCGCGTACTAGGCTGGTTTTAAAACTGTTGTTAACACCTCAAAAGAGTTTTGGGCCTATGAAAGGTGTTTTTGGTCTCTTTTTGAATAGAACATCCCTCAGTGATCTTCATGTCTCAAGATATACAATATGTTTGCTTAATAAAATCAACGAAATAACTATATGCACGTGAAAAATTTATAATTTAGTTTTTAATTTTGCTTTTTATAATTAAAAAAAAATAAAAAATTGCTCGGATGATATTTTTTAAAAATCTATTTAAATAGTCTTTAGTAAATAAATAAAATAAGTTACTTGAAATTTATACAAAAAAGAAAATATAAATTTTATATGTAAAAAAAAACAATTTGTTTTTAAAAAGTTGCGTATTTTCAAAATATATTTCTATACAATATACAGAATATTTAGAACTGTCTGTACCAATTTGAAGTTGGAAGAATTTCATACAATTACAACTTATATTAAACATACACATATTTAAATATATATTATCATTTATGTCCTTAACTTTTAATGGGAGCTAGGATATTACACATTTTCATATAATAAAATATTAAAAAAAATTTTTATTGCTTTTGTGTGTTCTTAAGTGTTTAAATAATTTAATTTCAATTTCATAATACGAGTATATAAAATGAACAAAATACATCAGTGTTATTTTTATAGTTTAGCCTATGTACAATTTTGGTATTGATTATATTGACAAGTTAAAAAATATACACTAATCATAGAATATATTAAAAAAATATATGCATATTAAATATATATTTTACAAGAAAATTTTCTTAATAATCATTTCAGATTTAAGCATTATAAAAACGAAACTCAGGTTTTGGTTTTCTGGTCACTCGATTTGAAAGTAGCAATGATGACAAAAACGATCCAAAAATACTAACGTCCATGTGAGCTGCTAGCATTCAGCGCTTTTAAGACAAAAAAGCCAATTATAGTAGCGGCAGCAACACCTATCCCAGCCTTCCACCACAGCGCTTGACCTGGATTTAAAGGCCCAAATTGCCTCAAATGGCTAGAGATTTGAATTATAGAAATAAATTGTAATTATTAGATTTATTTATTTAAAAAGAGAATAAATAAAAAAATAATTATTAAATACCGTGCAAAAACTATAAAATATGAAAAATTAAATAGAAATGAATTTGCAATTATAATAAATAGAAGTAAAGATAATATGTGGTTATTGGAATAGAAATTTGAAAGCCTCGTATTGCAGTGTTAATAACTGCACTTCGATATATAAAATATATATCGTATATCTTTATATATTTTTAGTAACATCTATAATAATATAATACAATCGTAATAATATTTTAGATAATTATGAGCCAGAGAAAAAGCTTAATATTACTAAAATAATTAATGTTAGTCTTTATAAATCACTGAATAGAAAATTGAAAGATATTTAAATCTTGATTTTTTTTAATTAAAGTTTTAATTACTTTGTATTATTTATTTGACATTTGACAGAAAAAAAGTTATAAAAATTAAAGTTTTGGGCAGTCATGGAACCTTCAGCAAGATTAAGGAAAGGATATCAACTCATATCCATATTTGTATAAAAACATTAAAAAAAACAAAGTTTACAAATTATATTTTCCAACCTTATATAGCATAGTATGTGTTATATACTGAGATCCTTGAGTTGAGCTACTATAGCTCTATTTGTATTCTTACAGATATTTTATTTTATTAATTTATTTAGATTATCTTAAAGTTAATTGTTTTTAAATACTAATTTATATTTACCAAGGCTTATGTGATCATTTTAAAAATATATTTAAATTAAAACGATTAATTATTATTCAATTTAAACAAATTAAATATATATAAAAATTAAAACAATTAATATATTAATATTTAAATAAGAAAATTAAAATTATATAAGTGAAACTATTTTTAACTAAATAAATTTTTTGATTATTACCCGACTTAAATCATTTATTTAATTAATTTAACGAAAAAATTTAAAAATATATAAAAGCCTTAAGCCATATAAATTTTTATTTATATATATTATTTACTTATGTTTGTAATTTATTTATATATATAATTTATTTATAAAGTATATAACTTATTTATATAAATTTTTTTTCAACTGGTTAAATTTTAAATTATAATAATTTATTGTTTTTTATAGTAATTTTCATATCGAATTTTTTAACTTTTGAATCCACAAAGGATTAATTAATAGTTTATAATAATATTATAATATTGTTATATAAAAATATATAATAATATATATATATATAATAAAACACATAAGCTTATGTAGATTAATTTTTAATTATAATTGAAATTTATATAAAAGTTTTTATTGTTGATATTATTAAGTCTTTGGTTTGTTTCAAATTTGCTTGTGACTTATAGCCTATAAATAAAATATCCGGATAATTCAAACCAATAAAGATTTCCAAAGATCACTGATGACGGATATTTGGCAATATCGAACACTGCTATATGACTAGCGCAAAAAATAACGATAACTGAATGAGGATTTCTCTATTTTTTTATTCGAAATATATTCGAAAAAATGCACTTAAATAAAAAGTGTTCTTTTTAATTGAATTACGTCACTTTTATAGATTCTTTATGATGGACGTACAATTTCTATTAATGTTATTATAAATAATAATGTTATTATTAATATTATAATTAATTTATAATTGAATAATAAATAATTTAGTATTATTATTTACTTATTATTTTTAATTAATTAATTATTTTAAATTCTTTATCAAAACAATAACTAATAAATATTATCCTTTAAACTTGTATTACTTTAACTACTGTTTATATATAATATATTGTTGTTACATTTATATTATTATTTTAATTCATGGACTATTTATAATATTATAATTTAACATAATTAAGTATTTTATATTATAATATAATATTAGGCAATACCGTAATATAATAATACAAAATAAAATAAATTTTTTTATAATATATGATTATTATGTTCTAATTTTTGTGGAATAATTATATTATAATACAATATTCTTAAGCATACTATAATAAATTAAAAAAAAACTTTAACCTTTATTTATCTTTATAAGATTTAATTTATATAATATTAATTAAATATAATAAAGTTTTTATATTCTTCGTTAAATTAAGTTAAGGTTTAGAATATTTAATTACTGTATTGTTATTTTGTATTATTTTTAACATTATCATAATAAAATATTGACCATTATAAAAATTAATTAATATCAAACTTTTATTATATTTCTTCGTTAAATTAGATCGGGTTAGATTATAAACGCTATTTTAAGGATCGACTTGGACTTATCGACCCATTGTGTTGACTATTGTACAAAACACAAAGAACTTTAAACGATTTGGAAATTTTAACAAAGTTTGAGATACACTCCAAGAAAAGGTCTTGTAGCTGACTGACTAAGGTACACCCAGTTTTACGGTGTACACTTAAGTTAAATGGTCCTTAGAGTTTGATATTTAGCATAAAAGAATCAAAAAACATTTAAACGTAAGTAACTTTAGTCTTATCCTATAGAAAGAAGTACTTAGTATCTTTTAATTAGATATCAGTTATATTCTCTTTAACTTATGCCTAAATAATCCACACATTATAAGGTTGCACAAAAAAATTATTAAAAAATTATAGTAAATAAAATTATAATTATAAAAGAATAATTAATATAATTATAAAAAAATTATAATTATAAATAACTAATCATTGTAATTATAATATTAAAAACTATAAAATCAAGACCATGCCATGATATATATCACATGTATATAGTTCTTATAAACATACAATAATATTGAAGTAGAAATGCAATTATGTTATCGTGAAACATCTCACCTTTTTCGCTTGTTAAACATGTCAATTAAACTATATGGATAATATAAAATATATAATGTATATATGAAATAGTGTTACACTACATCGAGAACATACATGTTGAAGACTAAAGCTTGAAAACAAAAACTGAATATACCAAAACAATATTACAACAAAGAAAAAAAAACAGATTTAATTTGCTTTTGGATGCAATATGTCAACTCAATTTGCATTTCGAAAATAAAAAAAAATATATATATAGAGAATAAATTGATATTTGTTATTAGTTAAATTTTGTATAGTTTTGTTTGGTATTAATCAAATTGAACTTACGCTGATTCCCACAGCTGTACCAACCTGTGCTTATAAAATAATATCCAAGCATCTTGAAAACGTCTGCGTTTCAGCGCGGAATACACACCACCACAGCAAAAAATTTAATAAAAAAATTAATATGAAAATAATATGTTTCAATTTTAAAAATATTATTAAGTGCAGTTTACTCTTTTTTGCTTTGATAAATTATTTACAATTAAAGTGAACAAAAGTGTGTTCCCCAAATGTCAACAGTATGAAAATTATCATTCTAAAAGCATATAAGTATGAATGAATGTCCAATTATGATCAGTGAAAAATATTTCAGTTCTTGAGAAAAACTATATATTCCCCAGTAGATAGTGAGTTTATAAAATATTCAAATACTAGCTTACCTCTTATATAAAATATACTGCTGTACTTTTTATATAAGCACATAAGCAATTTATGCACAAGTCTTTTAGAAAACCATGTTGATTAAGTTAATCAATGTTCTCAATAAGTAATTTTAATATAATTAATATTAGGTATATAATTAATAGTTAGGTATCCAAGGCAATGACTTGGCAGACAAACTCGCAAGAAGAGGCAAGGCTTCAATAATGATAGTTCCAGAACCCTCCTACGATCTCTAGGCAAAGGAACTCTATACATTCTTTTGAACGGCACAAAGGAATACGAAAGAGAACAAATATATTGGAAAAATCTACCATGACTATCACAACCTAAAATGCTTTTAGGGACTTACGTTGTAAGTAAGGAATGTAAAACATTCCAGGATTGCATAGAATAAAGAATAACCTAATTATTATTACGGGATTACTAACCGGTCACTGTATATTGAAAAATCACCTAACAAAGGAATCCAATCCAACTCAGAATGCAGATACTGTAGAGAAGAGAGAGAAATCGCTTACCATGTGCTAGGGGAGTGCGCGGCACTGACGCACAAGCGGAATAAACACCTTGGTATTTCCAAGGGTATTTCTTGGAACATAAGAATTCAAATCTAAAAAACAAAGGCCCTATACTGTCTTTATTTAAAAAAATCAGATTTGAAGAAACATTCTTATCCGACTAAAAGGTACAATAGATCTTTTAGGTCGCAGTGTACTGACCTTTTTTCTATAATAAGAAATGAAGTAGGTAGATAGATGAATATTAAGATAAATTTTTAATTATCTAATAAAAAAATGTGTCAACCAGAAATTAATCAAACTTTTAATAGATATAGGTTACACAACAATATAGTAGATAATACAAGGAATCTGATATACAGAAAATGTTATTTAAATATTTAAGGAAAGATTAACATTAATTAGAAATATTAATTAAAATAACTTCATTTTAAAGATACATTGTTAAAAACAAGGGCATATTTTATTTAGCAATCTTCACATATAAGCTACAGTTATAGTCTTCACCTTTAAGTATATTTATGTGTCCATAGAGAAAAAAAAAAATATTTTGCTTATAACACTTCAAGTCTTCTATCCTTTTTGCTTGGAGAAACTCAAGTTAGTGTCTAAAGCACTTTTAGTCAATAGTGTCTGTGACCATTTGGGTTATTCACTCTAACCATTGAATTATGATAATGAGTTATTTAAGTGATTTACAGAAGTCCAACATATCTTCTTGACAGAATATAGATTGAATTTTTTTAAGAGAGGTGCAGTTCTAAATTAAGGTTAGCATCCACAGAATCCGAGCTCTGTTCTTGATGTTGTTTTGCACAAGCATTTGTGTATATCTTCATTTCTGAAGATGAAAAATTGTGGTGAAAAATTTAATTCTAAATATCGTTAACTTAGAGCATGATAAAGCTTTAAGAAAAACTAGAAAATAAGGCATTGTTATTGAGATTCGTATATAATGCGGATTTTTTTTACACTGACAATCTAACTCAAGTTGGAAATTTGCTTTTACATATTAGTAAACATCTATCTCAGTTATCAATGAATATATAATTAGTTACTTTAAAAAATCTAACAAATTTGTTAATCACTTCTTCATAAAGTAAAATTTTCAAGTACTTAAATACTAAATCTCCAATTGATATGATTGTATTGGTATTTTGAGACAACAGATTTTGGCCTGGCGTAAAGTAGATTTTATATACCCAAAAAATATGTCACTAGTTATTGTTGTTGTTATTACTCATACATATATATATATAAATATATGGCAGGCACCACTACTTCACATATCTAGAAAACATATCAGTACCTAGCTATTATTATTATTGTATCTAGTATAGGTCTGTTTAGCAGTGTGATTGAATGAAAGTAGAATAGAAAGGGTTTGTGATATAAGAGGGATGGGCTGCAGGTAGATCTTAATAAAAATTAGAGTGGGTAGAGATGAACCAATCTGGGTGCTTCAATAGCCATTCATCCGATACGCGGACTAAGTTCACCACTCCCAACAGGGACTATATACTTGGTGTGTTTTATTTATTTTTTCATTAATAGTTTCAAATTGTGAAATATCGTATTTTTTCTATTTCAACAATATTCTTTTGAAATTATAATTAACATTTTGGCAGTAAAATATATGATAGGTTAGGTTGGAGGGTATGCCTGCGACAAACAAGGACAAGAGGTAGATCTTCTTCGACAACCTCCTTTGTATTTGTTGCATTACCTTAGAACTATTGTTTTAAAACTATACCCATTCATAGTAATTTAGTTATCCTATGTGCAGAGGATTAAATATATATTTTACTTCATATGAATAGCAACAAATTATTTATATTTACAATAGTAAATTCTAAGCTGTTCCACATATATATGTTTTTAACAGATAGACGCTCTGCTTGACAAGATAAGAATACTTTATCAATCATTTAGTAATTCCTAACTAGTTTATCGAAATATGTATATGGAATGTTATAGCAACTAAATGATGAAATTTTTTATAGTATATATATATATATAAATAAACACCATATCTAATACATTATAAAAACATAATTTAACTAATTTTAAAATTACATTTGTTAAAAACTTGTTCATTCACAACAAATAACTTTAATTAATTATATGAATTGGAAAACATGCAGAATACAAGGACACAAAATTCCAGCAAATCTTCAGAGAGCTTCTTTTTTCAATTCAATAAAGCATCAATAAAATAAATTCAAAGTTTGTTTTAGTATTTACAGTGTAAATCAAACGATCTTTAAATTCATTTTATTTCAATTTGCATGTTTTAATTTACAAGATTTATTTGCTCTTAAAGAGGATTTGAATCCGGACCAATAACTAAATTAAATTTAAAATTTTTTTAATTAATTTTTATACATACGGAAACGCTGCCATTGTTGCTAATTTAGTATACATCTCCTTCTTATTACTTTTAAGACTGAACAAATGTGGTGGCAGAAGTTTATACTTTTGACAAAATTCGGCTGGTTGTAGTAAATAATCTTGTCGATGTTCATCTAAATCTGATTTTGTGCCAACAACCATAACTGGAATTTTGCTTTCAGCGTAATACTTAATGTATATGCGAGCAATATATTCAAATGAACGTGGATTTGATGAATCATATACTAGACAGGCAACATCACAGTTCACCTCTTGAGGTTGTAAAGGATCTAGCGGATTATTAACAACAATTTCGCGTAAAATTAAATGTTTTTCTTGACCGTAAACCTGAAATTATATTTTTTTTAAAAATAGGTAAACATAATTTAAACATACAATATAGTGCATATGACATACCTGCACGGAGTTCACACAATGTACGACATTCGTTCTGAATTCTTTATTAATTAAACTATTCATATTTTCTATTAGAAATGCACGACATAAGCCTGTTTTACCAGCACCTTTTGGTCCTATAACATGGCACATATACACAGATCGACTACTTTGCCGCTTTGCTAAGTCAATACGTCTTTCTCGCGTTACATGTATTGCTGCCACTTGACTATCATTTTCATGTACATTAAAACCTAAATGCGCTAAGTACTCCAGTGTTTTGACAACATCTATAAGAGTCATAAGTGTCCAACGGCACAGCCAACCATGTAGCGTAACGTAACCCTTTTCATTTGTTGGGCATGATTTTTTAATATCTGTTGAAAATGACCAAGGCGGTGTAGGGCATATACTAAATAATGTTCGATGCTCCTCTTGTGATAGCGCACCATCATTATCACGATCATATCTTTCAAATAAACCTATCAGAAACTGTTGTCCTCTGTGCGAAAGTTCTGTGCTACTACCCGGTGGTATTTTCACTGTGGGTCGTAAATATTCATTACACATTTCAAGTTGCTCATTATAGCCAAATCGACGTAACACAGCCCAAGTAGTTTCGTTGCGACCACGTTGTATAAATAAGCAATGCAAAAATAAAAATCCTTTTAACGTAACTGCATCGTTGTAAATACCGTCTGGTGAATTCTTTTGTATAACAGATTTGACCTCGTCCAGAATTTGTGGTTGCAAAGGTGTGTTAAAACAGCGACGTTGGAAAAGATTAAGTTCATAATCATTTAACAGATTATCACCATCAATATCGCAGATTTTAAATATGCGTACGAGTGCTTTTTTACATGCAGGTGTTAACTAAAAATATATAAAAACTATGTTTAAAGTATACTAAAATAGATTTTATTTAATGTTAACTTACATCTTGTTCTTCCATTAAATATAGTGGTGAGGTCGGGTGTAAAACAGCTTTTTGTGCATAATAAAACATTTCCGAAATATTTTGTAATGTCTTTGCTGAACATTCAACAACACTTTCTACTTCTGGAAAATCCTCCATTATTGTTAGAACACTCTGCGGTAACAAGAAAATTTTAATACACATTTGGTTTGATTCTTACTAATTAAATTCACGTACATCAATGGTTGAGTATTCTACAAGATCTGCTTTATTGCCAACTAACACGACCGGTTTTTGTGGTTGATCTGCTTCAACAGCATTTCGCACAAGTGGTAGCCAGTGTTCCTTGATGCGGTCCATTGATTCGTCATCGTTCACCGCATAGACAATGCACACAACATGGCATTTGTTGATTTCTTCATTTAAGACTTGCTCACTTTGCTCAATGCCTGCACAAGAAAAAAGATTATTTTTATTAAAACTGGTTCACTTGAGTTTAATTATACACCAATCTGTACTTACTAGAATAATCCACAATATTTGTGGGTATTTGCTCTGGTGTTACATTTGCTGGTATGGTTATTTCTTCAGCTTTTGGGGGTACATCCTCTGGAAATTCTTCACTAACTAAAGATAGTATCAATGAAGTCTTACCAACTCCTTGATCACCCACCAGCAAAATTCTAACACTTTTGCGCGTCGCAGCACTTGGTTGAACCATCGTTCGGCTTATGCCATATATTCGAACCTTTCAGAAAAATATGCCACTGTACAGAGTCAACTGAAAACAATGTGAAAATTTATATTATTTGATATACTTGAATTTTATTTTATTTTGTTGAAAAAACTTGACAGTTTAAAAGAAAGAAAATTTTTCTGTGCCAATAAATGCGAGCACTAAGTGCAAAACTCTTTATCAAATTCTTAGATTGGCAGGTAGTTTGATAAGAAAGAGGAGAAATAATGTGTATGCGGAGACCTGAATAATACAAGAACCGGTATTAAGTAAAAAGTAAATAAAAATACATCAAAAATAAATACGATAGTGACACAAATATATAAGAAATAAAAGCGGAATGGTTCCCTTTGTTAAATTATTATGTTTGGGTAAATGTGTGCGAAATTTAAATTGATTTATTTTTGTCGCGTTGCCCTGTCTGGGCTTTAGTAAAATCAATAATAATCACTTCAATTTATTAAGTCTATGACTACTTATGACTACAGTGAATAAATATATATAGTAATTACTTATAAAAAATTTAGTGTTAACTACTGCTTATATGACAGACAGATTTTATAATTATGTATTAATTAAAATAATTATTTTTTTTATCATACACTCGATTGATATGCTAAGTGCTTTTTTACAAGGCATAAGTCCAAGCTAATTACATATGCAGTGGCTTGTACATTAACTTTGCAGGAGGTGTCTATTGCAAAAGATGACGCCACACCAATATATTTTTTATCACAAATTAAAATTTTCCAGGGGTGCTTATTTTCTATTTGCACATAAATATTAGATAATAAATTATTCACACACATTTTAATTAATATTGATTATATTCATTGTTGTTGCTGCTCGTTGTAAAATTTTGTTTTTAAATTTAGCGAAAAATATTTGCAAAAATAATTTTTGTGTACGTTTATGTATTACATAAATTACTTCTTACTTCAGTCAAAATAAACGAACCTTTTTATTCCTAATCAGAAAAAATTCTGGCAATTGCGAGGAGCTCTCCTTCGCAGCTACTGTCAAAGTAAACGTGCAGAGCGCACTGTTGTATTTTTATGTAGCAAAAAACAATACACGCAAATAAGCAATTTTATATAACATAACAAAAGATCTGTTCGAAAAAGTAAAATAAAGTGAAAGCACTGGAAAAAGTGTCTTTTATAGAATAAGTCTTAACAATCTTTTGATGGAAAAATTAATGTCCAGCCACCAAATACTGCGTCAACGACGTCACAAGTACGACAAGAATGTTAAAAGTAATTAAGCCAATAAAAATACAATACTATGCCTTTTCTTTTGTAAGCATATCACAAAAGAATAAATAAAATAAGCACTACTTTCGATAGCAACTCTGGACAAAATGAAAATTTTGTTAAGTTATATATGCAAAACAAGTAATAAAATTTTGAAAATGAATAATAATTCTTTGCAATTATTGGTTAGTATATATTTTTTTGCATGATTGTGAATAAATTATGAATTTTCATGCCTTTGAACAGTATAATAATAAATAGAAAAAGTAACGTATTTGTTACGAACAATGACGATACGAAATAATTCGTTGACTGTTAACTGGAAATTTCGTATGTACTACCAACAACCGTTCACAATAGACAAATTTTCAGTCTTGGTAATCAAGGAATATGAGCTGCTTATTCGTTAAGCGGTTTCGAAAAGGTTGGACTATATAAGCCAGCAATATTGTTTCATATGTTACAAAAGAAAGGCCTATTATAATTGATTCAATTTAATATTAATTTTAATATTAATAAATGCGCCAATATTCCAGAATGTTCAGACTTTCTTTCTGTGAAGGTATAAAATGGTCCACCGTATTGAGTCAATACTATTGACTAATGGTGCACCAACAACACACACTTCTCAACCATCCACGGTGAATGGCGCTTTTTGTTATCACTCTTATCAATTAAAATTAGATTTAAGAAATATATATATAATAAAACCTAATAATTTCAACAATTTCAACTATTAAGCATATTACATTTTGTATAAAAATAAATAATTAATATAAATTGAAATTGAAAATGAGTAAGGAATTTAAAAGAATAGTAAAAATGTTGGAATTTTCGAAATAAACATCAAAAAATTTCTTTTTTCCCAATTTTCAAATTTATGAAATATTTGAATTTGGTTTGACTTTTTGTTGCATATGATTTTTGACATATAATTGTATTATTCGTTGAAATTTTCAATTGTTTGTACTTTACTTGTGTTTTACTCGAGTTTTACTATGAGTAGCTGGTAGAACAGACCTTTTATTTTAATTAATTGAATTTTTGGTTGACCATACAGCTGTTTCGAGTATTACCAAATACCCATTATCAGTGGTCTTGTAATTATTTCTTGTATTTAATTATTTGTAAATAATTTTTTTGAACTTGTAACCTGCCAAGTTTGAAGCTAGAGTCACCAACTGTTTCAAAACCGTACTTGACTTTTATGTTCGCATTTTTTTCTGAAGAATTAATTTGCTGTAAAAGTTTATTAACAAATTCACTTGCTGTTTTATATTATAATAAAATCATAAACCAGCTGTAGAGTAAATAAATTAATGAAATTAAATTAATCAAATTAATCAAATATTTAAAATTTTACTAATAGTATTTAATAACATCCCTGTTGTTGCGTTTGCACTTGTACATAATTCTAATAAGAAATATGAGAGAATCAGCTGTTTAACAGATTTTGTATGTTTATATGGGAGTAACGTTTTGTTTGGAGAAAGTAGTTTAACTTTGGATACGCTTAAGAGAATATGTTTATGTTAACAAATAGACTAATAAAATATAAGTGTACTAATTTATGTACAAAATTACTAATAAGTAATTTGAATACAAATAATCAAAATAGACAAATTGATCAAATCATTACTCGATCAAAACATACAAAACGTATTTGCATAGTCGGTGCTGGAGCTGCCGGTTTTTATTCGGCGCAGTATATTTTAAAGCAATTGGATAATTGTGTCGTGGATATAATAGAAAAATTACCAATACCATTTGGTTTAGTGCGGTTTGTTTTTATTAAAATTATAGTTATAATATAATGTATTATTAACATAAATTAATTACTAAATAGTGATTGTATTGAACGTATTCAAGAGACTAATTTCGCTTTTAATTTTATAGGAAATAATATATTAAAAATTCAGTATTGTATATTAATTATTTCATCACTTTTTTTATTTACTTTTTCCTAACATAAAAATCGTCAGTCATGCGTTAGTCGTAATAACAATAGTTGTTATCTGCTCAATTATCAATACTTAAATTTACAAAATCATTTACTTTTAGTTACGGCGTTGCCCCCGATCATCCAGAAGTAAAAAATGTGATAAACACGTTCACCAAAACCGCAACTCACGATCGTTTTCGTTACTTTGGGAATGTAGCACTGGGAAAAGACGTAACTCTAGAGGAGTTACGTGAAAATTATCATGCAGTGCTCTTAACTTATGGAGCAGATGAGGATCGTTTCCTAAACATACCTAATGAAGATCAATCAAATGTTATATCAGCACGTAAATTTGTTGCATGGTATAATGGTTTACCAGGAGCGGAAAATTTAAATCCGGATTTAAGTGGACAAGATGTTACCATTGTGGGACAAGGCAATGTGGCCGTAGACGTAGCACGCATGTTGTTAAGTCCTATCGATGTCTTAAAAGTAATTATATTAATATTAAAGTAATTGACATATGAATTAATAACATATATCACACTTTAGGAAACTGATACAACCGATTACGCTTTAGAAGCGCTGTCACGCAGTAAAGTTGAACGTGTTTACTTGGTAGGTAGACGTGGACCCTTACAGGCGGCATTTACTATAAAAGAGTTGCGTGAGATGCTGAAATTGCCAAATGTGCAAACAATTTGGAGATCAAATGATTTCAATGGTACGTTAATTATGCGCATACAAAGCAATTTCAGTGCAAGTTTTGAATTCTGATAACGCAGATGTAACTTCACAACTTCCCAATTTGCAAAGACCACGAAAGCGTCTTACCGAGCTTATGCTTAAAAGTTTAAGTGAACAAAGCGCTACACCGGTGAAAGGCCACAAGCAATTCTTACCCATTTTTTGGCGTGCTCCAAAGAATATAATTGACAAGGAAATAGAATTTTATGTCACGAAATTGCAGGATAATGCCGCAGTAGCGACAAGCGATACAGAACGTTTTCCTGCTGATTTGGTGCTACGTAGTATCGGTTATAAATCCATTTGCGTAGATAATAGTATATGCTTTGATGATAGTCGTGGTCATGTTTATAATGAAAATGGTGATGTTATGGTTTTAATATAAAAATTTACTTATTAATCTTTACATTTTTGTAGGTCGCGTTTATAAGAATTCGAAAGAGAAATCGATTGATAAAGGACTTTATGTTGCCGGTTGGTTGGGCACTGGCCCTACTGGTGTCATTTTAACAACTATGAATGGTGCTTTTTCTGTTGCCAAAACTATTTGTGATGACATTTCAAGCAATAAGATTGACACCAATACAGCCAAAAATGGTATTGCTATAAGCGATAAACCAGTGGTCACTTGGGACGGCTGGGCGCGAATAGATAAATATGAAACTGAAGCAGGAAAAGCGAAAGGAAAACCTAGAGAAAAAATTATTGATGTAAAAGCAATGTTAGAAATTGCAGGAATATAGTTTTTTGTATTTATTTTTTATTATTTAATAATTTAATTTTCCATAGGTAAATTTTTTGTGTTGTTTAATGGTAGCTTAATAAATTAAATATTTTGATAAAGTATTAAATTAATTATTTAATATATGCAATTTTTTAATTTATTGATATATGGGCGTCAAGAGAGGTTGCCTTCTAAGGTGTGTACAATGTCAAATTTTTTTGTGGGATGTTAATAAGAGATGGAAAGATTCGCCAATATGTAGGCGCCTGTTTGCAAATTGAACGCGTTTTTATAAAAAAAATGCAGCAGTGTTATTGAGATGCCCCGTAAAGATGTCAGTTTTGTAGTTTGTCACAGCCTGTTATGGAACTATGCTAGAAGATTGAATCTCCCATTTAATCATTCCTGTTGCAGTTGTGAAGTGCATGATAAAAGTGTCTTACATCAACTTTGCTACCTCTCTAAAGCATCGAAATATCTAAAGAGCATTATCAGCTTTGAAAAAGCACTTTCAGCATAACCTAACCTAACCTACTTGGTATCTACACTGGCTAGAATTCGGCAAGATTTTTCGACGTTCGAATGCAAATAATTTTGTGTGTTAGCGAAGATGTGAGAGTGCATTGCAAAACTCTTGCTAATATACACGTAGTGTTAGCGTCTACCTAATAGACTCCTATAACTAAACGAATACAGGTTTTTGTTATTTAATATTATAATTTTTCTTATTTACCTGTGTTTTATTATATCTAATACTCATTGGAAGACAATTGTTCTTTCGTTATCTGGGTATTAATAGCTATTACTAGGATTTATTGAATAAGAATTAACAAGGGAGAATAATTTGTTAAGAAACAAGTTGTGTCGAAAACATATTGTAGAGCTGCTAGTACTAACAAAGTTTCAGTCGTTTTAACATATAAAAATATATGTATGTTTGACAAAAAAAACAATGGCATCAAATATAGTATAGTTATATATCAAAAAGTGCTACGTAGTTAAATAACATAACCTTTAAAGTACTAAGAATGTTATAAAACATAATCTATTTTTGTTACACGGAAACGTTAATTTCTGTTTTTATAAAAATTTTCACATTCGTCTCTTTTTTTAGTACTATTTTTTGATTTGACGGTACCGCGTCAAAACAAAATTAAGCAGAATCTAGTACTATTAGAACAAAGTAGCTTCATAATACATTTTAAAAAAACTTAAAACAATCATTTACTTTTTTCTTCGCTGCCAAATATACAACTATGCACGCCTTAACAAAAGTAAAAAAGAAATCGTAAGCTCAGATTGAACACAGTTCAGTTCAATCTAGATACAAATCACTCTAAAGATACTTGATCAAATCTAGTAAACGATCGATATCTGTTGTTTGCATGGAACAAAATGCATAAAATCTTGCAATATCATTGTTACAATTAACCGTTTCTTATAAGCAGAAATGCCCATCATTTACTTCGAAATCATTCAAACAAAAAAAACAGAAATTCTTATTATTGGCGTAAAATATTTATGTAAAAAATATTACATTTTTAAAATTTTGTATTTGTAATTATAAGTATTTTAAAATATTTAAAAATAGATAAATAATATAAAATAAACTCATTACTAATGTAGTAAAACAATGTAAATAAAATTATATTAGTATGCTTTGATTTCCCACCACAGCCTTTGTAATTCACCACTAAAAATTTTCTATGTTAATACATCGCAACATGCCAGATATTTGATGTAAAAATAAATCAATAACAAATATTATTTAAAAAATTTTCTGTTTTGGTTAGTTTAAAAATATAAACTAAAGCTTCTTGCTATATATTAAAAAATATCTATATTTGAATAAAAACTAATCGATAATAAAAAAGTGGTGATGTGCATCTCGCCTAATTACACTCTCGTCTTTCGTGCTGATTCTCACTAATTTTTACATAACCGGTGTTTGGCATTTCAGTTCTGCGGCAAGTAAAATTAAAATAATTTAGTTTTACCATAAAATTTAATCAGGATTGTTACCAATTACAGTTGAAACAATATGGCTAGCGCTAATGACAGCTGCACATTGTGCCAAAAGATTGGTCTTAAACCATTTACAAAAGAAAACATCTACAACTACTATATTCCCTTGCATGGCTTGGTCTCATATGGAATACTTTCCGTTAACGTTATGAATCCATCAATGGCTTTGAAATTTTTACCAAAAAAGGACTTAACAAATGCACTCTTAGTTAGCAGCATAGCAGGCACAGCCTTTTACATATATGGACGACCACATTTGGGAAAAGTGCCTAGTGGTAAGCGCAGCATGTATGCATTGTTGGGAAGCAGCCTGTTCAGCATGGGATCAGTTTTGGCTTGGGCATTGATAAAATCTGCGCTACCAAAGGACAATGCTGCGTTGGCCACTATTGCAGGCATTGCAACCGGAGCCGCAATTGTGAAATTAAGTACCGACTATATAAACGAAACAGATAAATTGGCTTAAATTAGTGAATAATCATCATTTTGAGACGACTTCAGTGATTTTGGCAACCATCTCGTGTAATTGCTAACATTTATAAATTTTTTAAGTTACTTATATTTTATAGTCATTATGCATAAATAAAAATGTAAGCAATTTCAAGTTTTTCAATGATTTTTAATATATTTTACAAAATTATAATATACACAAATAAATTCCTGTGTTATCTATTTTTATATAATGCTAAAAGATTATTCCTAAAATAAAACTTGTTGATATTGACAGGTCACTGCTGTAAAAAAAAATATGCATCCAAAGGTCAAAAGTAAAACTAATTTTAATTTACTTACAATGAGTGTTTTGCTTTAGTTTGATTTTAAGGTTATTAAAGCCGCTTTTGCTTAGTGGCAAAAATTTAGTTTAGCAATAAAATTTGTCTAATTACAAAAAGTCACTTTTGGTTTTGAACGGAGCCGAACGGACTTTGGTCGTCAAATTCAAGGAGTGATTCTCGTATGTAGAACCAGCCGTTCTTGGAACCACTTTTATGCTATCCAACATTATAGCAGTGGAATATAAATCTCCTTTAAGACTATACTGAATTAATAGTTGAAATTGGCTTTATTGTTCAAGGTATAGGGCATCGCTGTAGGATTCAAAAAGTGGTGTTATATACAACGATTTATGTAATCCAGTTTTTTTTTGTTTCTTGTGGTTTTCGTATGTTGACCCGACCGTTCTTGGTACCACTATTATATTATCCAACATCATAGCAGTGGAATATAAATCGCCTTTAAGACTATACTGAATTAAGAGTTGAAATTGGCTTTATTGTCCAAGCTATAGGGCATCGCTGTAGGATTCAAAAACTGGTGTTCTGTACAACGATTTATGCAATCCAGTTTTTTTTTGTTTCTTGTGGTTCTCGTATGTAGACCCGACCGTTCTTGGTACCACTATTATATTATCCAACATCATAGCAGTGGAATATAAATCTCCTTTAAGACTATACTGAATTAAGAGTTGAAATTGGCTTTATTGTCTAAGGTATAGGGCATCGCTGTAGGATTCAAAAACTGGTGTTCTGTACAACGATTTATGCAATCCAGTTTTTTTTTTGTTTCTTGTGGTTCTGGTATGTAGACCCGACCGTTCTTGGTACCACTATTATATTATCCAACATCATAGTAGTGGAATATAAATCTCCTTTAAGACTATACTGAATTAAGAGTTGAAATTGGCTTTATTGTCCAAGGTATAAGGCATCGCTGTAGGATTCAAAAATTAGTGTTTTGTACAACGATTTATGCAATCCAGTTTTTTTTTGTTTCTTGTTTTTATATTGTTCCACTTTACTTAGTTTTATAAATAAAATATGAGGATTTGTATTTCCGACCTCAACTTCAGTCAAATCAACTTAACAATACCTATTGATTCAAGATTACAAACCACATTCCGCTCAACAAAGGGATATGAACATACTGTGTTCATTTCTAAAAAATCGTAAAACACGAGTATATAAGATCGGCAAATGTTTCAGATTACCTTTTAAGATATCTGGTGGTATCTACTTTTTAAAAATGTTTAAAATGTAAAATTTAACAAGAAAGTACCGAGCAAGCTTGAAAATAGTCTGCGTCTATTTAGTTATAGACTGTTTAAACTGAAAAATCTATAAGTTTTTTTGTTGTTGACACGCATCATTTTAGTCGCTAAGACGACATTGAACGACGTACTTACTGGGCTACAGTATAACCTGCCTCAAATGTGCCGTTAGTATGGGGCCTTATGCGCGGCCTTATTATTGTGGGTTTTATCGAGGCTATTATCTGGTTTAGTAAGATGTTGTTGCGGTAATTCGCAGTATACTCGTTTGTCGGAGTATTATTAGTAGAAATTGGTTGTCTAACGGTTGACGTTATGGCCATACGTAATGCATTCCTTTAGTGTGGCCACCTATCAATTACTGAGCCTTTAGCATGAGTTCGTCTATATTTTTGTCTGAGTGGTTAATACATTTGAACAAAATATAATTGTTGTGAATTATGGTTACAGCGCCTTTTGGAAATTACATCATAAAATAAAAATTATATAAAATTCTATACTAAATAAATTTAAACATCTAATTGTTTTTACGAATATAAATGTGGTCTGCTGCAAATATAAATCTGGCATAATTCAATATTTTTAATGCAAAACATTTCTGATGATCTCAAATACACACTAGTATATTACCAAGTACATAAATAGCACCTAGTCTCAACGTATATGTATGGAATATGGAAAAAATTAGCTAATAGCATATTTAATAGTCTATAATGCAATGAACCTGTTGTCATCTGCCAATACTTCAAAATGGAAAGTGTGGATCACTGGATTTTCTATTACATTTGTATAGATATGAATACGTCACTACACGTACTTCATGTTGTTGTTGTAACCCATTGATAACTGCTGTTAAGTCTCTTTGGGAGTGGTGTATGGCACTTGGTCGTTGTGGTTGAAGAGTGGCTACGGGAAGTAGACCCAGCCGTTCTTGGAACACATAGTGCATTAACGCGTTTGTATACCTATAGAATAAATTAACCGAAATATTCCTCATTGACATTGAACTATATAGATTGCAATAAATGAACAGAATTTAAAAGCGAAATCCTGTTCTACATGTCTATATAGAAATGTCTACAAGTCTATATAGATATGTCTACAAGTCTATATAGAAATGTCTACATATGTCTATATAGAAATGTCTACATATGTCTATATAGATATGTCTATATAGAAATGTGTACATATGTCATTTTAGAAATGTCTACATATTTCTATACAAAAATGTTTACATATGTCTATATAAAAATGTCTATATAGAAGTATCTACATATGTCTACATGTCTATATAGAAATATCTACATGTCTATATAGAAATATCTACATGTCTATGTAGAAATATAGAAATGTCTACATGTCTATATAGAAAGTCAAAGTACATGTCTATATAGAAATGTCTACATTTCTATAAAGAAATGCCTCTGTCTATAAAGAAAAGTACATCGTTAAAATAATGCATTAAGTTGTTACCATCTTGTACCTAAAATAATACAAAAATATAACCTACTTATCTAATCTTATCTAATAAGAAGAACATATACAGCAATGATCGTAGTATTTTCAATTTTGCAGTAATATATTTCACCTTTAATAATAATATTGTTTGCTTTAATAATATTTTATTTTAATTACTTAAGGCTTTTATTGTATTTAAAGTTTTTCTCTTTCCAATGCTTAAATCTAATAATTAATAATGTTTAACAATTAAAATGTGTTCATTAAACGAATAAAAATTATTATATAGATTTATATATATATTTAAATTTATAGTGCTTGAAATAGCTATTGTTCAGAATAAAACCTACTTTTAAAAAATATTTACATTTTTTGATTTAGTATTGATATAAAAAAAATCAAATGATGTGGTGTGGTTAACGCCACAAATTAAATGAAAATTATTAAAATTTTATAATATATATACTTAAGATGTATACAATATATTTTATAAAATTGAAAGTTCAATAGAATTTCTGTCAGACTAGAAACAGATTCTATATACTAAATTCAAGCAATTTTTGCAAAAATATATAACATAATTTAATATTACAAATTATTGTTTTCATATATTTTATTTTTAAAATTATGCTTATGTAAAGAAATTATATTAATATATTTATTTTAATATAAATGGATATCCTTTCATATATATGCCAACTTAAAGAAAAGGGAATTATTAGTATAAAAATAGGGATCTATTTATAAATAGTAATATATTCAATAAATTTTAATTTAATTTTTTTTATTAAAAGTTGCACATATAAAATTTTAAATTATTAGTAAAACATATTCTTAAATTTATATAAATATTGCAAATAAAAAAAGTGCATCGCATAATTGTCTTAAATTAGAAAATTAAAATTTTAATTCATTTTCATTTTTTTTTCTGGAACACGTGGAAAAAATTAAAACCTTCTTAACTTTAAAGCCTAACGATTGACCAAATATACGAGTTATCATTACTATTATTTGTTTTTTTTTTTTCATAATTTGTGAGTCCATTACCCTCACTTGCAACAATTTAAATTAAATTTAAATTACGTGCACGTCTACTACCAGTAGCAGACATTAAACATTAGACAAACTTAATTACATGAGCACCAGCAGGCACTGCTTTACTTTTCTAAATATTTTGTTTATGGTAATTGATAATTCGATACAGGCGAATGCATTTCACATACTACAGATCTTATCTATTTAAACTCTGGAACTTATATTTGACTGAATTATAATAACAAAATTCTGTGAGAAGTAAATGAACAATATTTCATCACTTACAGCACGTTTACACTAAAGCAATTAACTCGACAAATGTGTTCCCATTTTTATACAAAACCCATACAAAAATGTACTAATAAGATTTAATAATTGCAAGTGTAAACACAGCTTTAAGCATTTAAGATGGATATAAAATCATAAATGTATATGATAGTGCAATATTGATTATATATAAGTAACGGAGGATGTATGGATAAATAAAATTTCAGTATTGATTAAGGAATGTTAAATGGTTCTAATATTTCTTTGTGTTGGTGTTAATGTATTGAATAAATTAATTCTTTTAGAATTAAATATACAAACAAATTTGGATTTAATTATTTATATACATATAAAATATTTATGCGTGGTCAAAGGGCAGTATCCAATATTGAACATTTATTTTTAATTGTACAATAGTTATTTTATTTATTATTGTAAATATTCTCTATTTATTTATTTAGTTTATATACGAAACTATATGGATTTATAAAATTTGTTTGAATATTATTTTTATGTATAAATGTATAATTTTATACATTAACTGTAAATTAAATGTTTGTGTAAAAAAAGTATCCATAATTAGTAATTTAAACGAAGTACATTTGAGATATTTAAACATTTTTCAGTATTTTGAATATTTGGTGCTGAAACCAGCACTTTGACTTTTGTTTATTTTAATGTATATACTTAAATTAAGTTGAGTAAAAACTGCTGGCGTGAGAGAGAGTATTGTTAAGGCGGTGTGCAAAATTGATATGAATTGAATTAAGTTATCATTTTTTATTATTTTTAAAATTTGGAGCTGATACTAGCACTTTGATTTTTGTTCATTTTAATGTATAGCGGCTTTCTGTGGCTTGAAATGGTTTTCTTGCTTGAGCGAAATAAAAGTCACAAAGGTTATATTATTATGTGGAAATTATTTTATTGTTTTGCTTTAATTTCTTAAGCCGGAAAACTTGAAACTTATTCTGGAAAAATTATTCTTTTTCTATATAATTTTCTAATGTCCATATTTTTGGCTAGAAATGTATATACTTGAACTAAGTTAAGTAAAAACTGCTGACGCGAGAGAGAGAGTATTGTTAAGGGTGCGTTCAAAATTGATATGAATTGAATTTAGTTTTTTTAGCCCCATAGGGATCTATGGAGCAGATAATATAAAGGAATTACAAATAAGCATACATGAGTTAGGTAATGGTAGTGTGGGAGAAGGGAAGAGTTTAGAAGTTAAAAATAAATTGAGAATGGGTGGGAAATTCAATTAAGTATGGTAATTTGTATACTGTGACATTTTTAATGTAAGACAATAATGAACATTTTTTACTCATAGCTCGAGAAGTGGTATTGTGCGCGACCTTATAATGTAGACATTCATAGAGCACTGTATTCTTATATAGTACTTCAATGTATATAATTTGAATATAGAAAAAACTTCCGAATAACTGTAGTCTGTTTCCCGCATTAAACAAGTATTGAAACGAAAAATTTTGTTAAAAGTATCAATAGCAATATTGCTGTTCTTAACAAATGGAAAATGTTCTAAATTTTTATGTGATTTATATATTTTTGTTCATTTCTACTTTAATCAAACTTCATTACTTTTACTACAATATACTTCGTAATATGTCATTTGCAACTCGTTTATATTACAAATTTCGGATACTTTTTGATTGCAATATATATAAGTTATATAGCAATTATATATATATATATAAATATATGTATTATCTTAAAATATTATATACCATATATTCAGCGTAGATAACAGTTTAATAATTAACACCAGGGAGCAAAAAAAATTATCTAGGGCATTTTTGAAATTTTTAACAAATATTCAACAATATGGATCTTGGTGTGCAAATATTGAATAGTTTTTTGAGTTATGATGGCAGGAAGTTTAGGTAAAAACTACATATTTGTTGTTGTCTATGTATTATCTATTCGTCTTACAAGATATATAAGAGAACCACTTTTCATACAATTATTATCACGTATGTATAATAAAATCATGGAAAAAGGTGTTTTTCACATGTAAAAGAAATTTTGCAAATAACTAAAGTTAGTTTAGGGAATAATACTTGGACTAATATTAGAAATGCTACGATAGCTACAGAGTTACTTAGAGAAATTAATTTTTATAAGAAGTATATTGCATTAATACCTTTGTTTCGCTAGTATCGAAAAATCATCACCTTATTATTTTGATTTGCACTACGTATTAAGTTGCTATATATAATATATATATGTTTATATATATATATATAAATATATTTGTATATACATAATCATATATACACATATGTTTGAGTGTATATTCATATTTGCAATCTTAGCAAGAAACCCATTATTAATTATGACTGTTTCCACTGTCTAAAATGCCATCGCGTTTCTCAACATCTTCAGTTGAGTTATTAAGCTTTAGTTTTGTATCTTCTGAGCTTTCAGTTTCTTTTTTTAATTGAGAAGGTAGTTTGACTTTCATTTGAACCTTTAGTACATCTCTTAATTCTTTTATTTCGTGTTGACCTTGCATTAAACGTTTAACGCCACGAGGTAAACCACGACATGATGAAAGATTAATTGAACTCATATATGCACAGTTAGATAAAATCTCTTTGACAGCCTCTTCAGATACCGAAGAACCACATAGATTTAAATGCCTAAATATTGAATTCATTAATAAAACAATAACTGCTTAAAGTTGAATTAATTATAACTTACGCCAAAGGTGATTCACTACCCTTTTCAGCCAATGCACGTAAAGCATTATCCAAAGGTTGTTGAACATTTGCCCATGCTAAATCCAATTCAATAAGACTATGTGCCCATTTAGATGCAATTAGTTCTAAGCCCGAGCTTTTTTTATAAAGTAAATTAAATTAATTTTAACATTTTTTTAATATATATTTTATGTGTGCCACCTACCAATTATCTCTCGTTACTGAACAACCAGATAAAAATAAATGTTTTATATCCCAAGCTGGCAGACGGATTAAACTTTCATGTGTTAAACGCGCACAGCCACGTACATCAAGCAGCTTCAATTTTGAGCTAGTCTTAAGGATGCGTTGCAAATGTTCATCACCAATAACACGCGATTCGTCAGTTAAAGCAGCAATTGATAATTCTTCCAAATTTGGAAATCCAGGCGAATCCATCTGCAGTAACAAAATTTGATATAAACATAATTTATATATAATCATTTTATATACCATTTCTTGCATTGTTGCTGTACTAGGCGTTATTTGCGAGTTGGTAACACGCAATACCTTTAATTTTTTGCAACCATGTTGTAATTTTTCTATGCGTAGTATCCCATGTGAAGTGGCTTGAGTGGTTACGTTAGAGAGATCCAGGAGCACCAGATTCGCACAATGGTCCTTTATTAAAAAATAAATTTAATATTTTCTACTTTTAAATACTATTTTTATTATACCGATAAAATGTTAACAATTTGTGGTATTCCTGCCAGACGATTATGTGCCAAATACAAATGCGTAAGCCGTTTATTCATTGTCTGCAATGCAGTACAAAGGGATTGCAGGCCAACAGCACTTTTACTTGCATTCATTTCAACCTAATTATCAAAATAAGTGCATTAGTAATATAAGCTTTAGTTGGAAAAGAGAATCAAAAATAGTTACATTAACTGAGCTTAAATCAATCCGTTCTAATTTCTTCATATTGTTAACTAAAAACGCCAAATGATCGCATGTGAAACCTTTCCAGCCCGCTAATGTAATACCCGTTAAGTTTGTACATCCAGCAGCTAATTTGTGAAGAAAGCAGTTAATGTCAGTGACCTTCCAATTTGCTAAAAAAAAAAAAACAAATATTGTATTCATATGTGTTTCATAATAATTTGTAATATAATTAACTTACAGATATTTAAATCTGTGCAAGAGCTGCAGCGATTATCCACAACCCACTTCAACCTAAGTTCAGTTCTAGATTTTTCTTTAAACCAAGTTGTAAGGTCTAATACTTTCCATAATGTGGGTCGCACTGATACTCGCCGCCATAAAGCGCATACTCTTCCCAAACGGCATAATGTTGGCAAAGATCCTTCTTTTTCAACTGCCTTTTCAAAAATCTTAAAAGAAATATTAAACACATTAATATATATAAAAAAAATATTTCAATAATTATTTACTTACTTGATAGAGTACATCTTCTGGAATCTTTGATCCCCATATGCTTTGCTCAATTGGTTCACTTGCTTCTTCTGCTTTGACTCCACTGAATGAAACCTTTTTTTGACGTTCATTGTTGTTATTGGGATTGCGATCTTTTTTGCGTTTCGTTTCATATTCACTGTCATCGCTATCGACACGATGACGAGATTTTGATTTACGGGAACGTTTACGAATTTGTTTTGAAGATGTGGGTGGAGTTGGTGCAGTTGCAGTTACTGTTGCATCAGACTTTTTAATACATAGCTTGATGCCAACTTTATTATCGCTTATCTACAAATGATAAAAACGTCGTTAGATTTAAACAAATAAGATATGAATTATCTTTAACTATTTACCTCACTTTCATATATTGGTACTTTTTGCTTTCTTGGACGCGTTGAGCGTGATGATTTGTTGATTTTTTTATTGATGGACGCCATTAAAGGTTTACCAGATTTTGGTATAGTGCCATTAGCAACAATGTTTATCGGTTGAACGACACGACCCAGATTTTTTGTAGAAATTGGTGCTTCTGAGTTGTCAGTGTTACGAGGTGAAGCTTGAGAACTGTTGGTTTTAGGTTTGATTTCAGGCACAACTTCGGGTGATAATTGAGAATCAGAAGCGGGAGATGATGACGTCGCAGTATTAGTTTCATCAGTTTGTGTTTCGGACTTTGGAGGGGACAGAATATTGTCTGGAATTGAATTTGCGGCCTCTGCTTGAGGTGGCGTTTGAGATTGCGTTGTCGGGGAAGGACTTTTCTTTGTCACTGGCAGAAGATCTTTTGCATTCTCAGCGCTTTTATTTTTAATTTTATTTTCACCTTTCAGAACTTCGGTGTCATTTTCAATGGTTTTAATTTCCTTACTTGTATCTTTTTTTAATGTTTTATCGGCTGAAATATGATCTTTTATTGGAGACATTTTCCGCGTATTAGAAGATTTTATTTCAGTGGTATTGAGAGGTATATGATCGTTTTGCTCATCATTTATTTTGTCTGCTTTTGAATTAACTTCTTCAACTTTCTTTAGTTGCAATTCAGCAGAATCCGTTATAGCAGATTTATTTTGAATATCCATTTTTATAGTTAATTTAACAAATAAAATGAAACCTGTAAGAATAAAACTATGCTTCAGTTTGTAATTACACAATAAACAGTAATTTGAAAATAAAATAAACATGAATTTGTGGCATTATATTTACAGTTGCAATTCTTATAGGAATTGTTGTTGTTAAAAACGCGCTCACCTGTGTTTTTATTCACTGTTTACAAAATATATTACTCCGTTTATTGTTTTTACTTTTATTTTCTATTGTGGATAAGAGAAATTAAAATTGTATTTCTCTTTCACTCACACTACAGCCTTTCTACATTTTGTGTGCACAATACGCAACATTATGGTTCTCCAATTTTCCGCTTGCACTTATAATTCACCATTTTTCTTTTTGATAGCAATTCAGAAAATTGATTAATAACTATTTAAACTCACATTTCTCTTATTGCTTTTAATATTTCGAAAAAGTTTATGCTTTAATAAATAACATTTTCACCACTAAAAATGAAAAAATTATTAATTCTCCCCGAAATGACAATTTTTCACCTTAACTACGTAGAACCGCGGCAGCAACGAACGATAAAACAATTTCTTCATTTGTGTTTTACATACATTTTCTATAGATAAGCTTGGCCGCATGGTTGTATGTTGAGGTAGAGATTTTTATAATGGATTTTGATGTATATACGATTTTGCTAATAAGTGAAAGTATTCTAATATTAACATGCAGTAATGTTTCACATTGAAAAAATTAAACCAATATCATATTATATTAAAATAAAATTTATTTTAACCGGGTTCAAAGTCGGATATATGTTATAACACTCAAATTGTTAATAGGTAATACTATGTTTATATTGTGAGATTACAAGAACGAGATTAAGTTAATCTGCATTTTTAATCTCCACCGTTTACATTATATTAAGATTAAATTAATCTACATTTTTAATCTCCACGGTTTATATTATATATTGGAGATTAATTTTGAAGTTTCTCTTGTTGTGTTTTGGTTCGTGTGTTTGATAAAATTCTGTAAATAAAGCATTTAATTACAATTTTGTATTAAATAATTGTAAGATATATTCAATAAATAGTTTTATAACAATAATTCAACAAATTTTAGTTATAATTATGTATAAAACTATTATTAAACAAATTTAATAGAAATTTCACTCACT